CCTGATCTCTCTCCGGTTGTGTTGTATAACCGTCCCATCGGACTATGAGAGTGAGGGAATAGAGAGTGCACCTGTGCTTGCGCATACACTTGGGCACTATAATCTTGGCCTGCGCCGATGGCTAGTCTCCGTTGAGGCTGGCTGCCGTGACCAAAATTCGCTCTGGAGGATTATTGCACTATGCCCTAGCACCTACATCAGGTGATGATAACTAAATGGCTAACTATCCGAGAAAAGCGCACTTCCAGGATATTGTCCGTTCGCTACTCCATTTTAAATGATTTGTCGTCCCCTTCCTATCTTAACGAAAAATTTCAATACCTTTCCTCCAACCACGACAAGGTACTTCCCTCTTTAACTAATCTGAAGATTTCAGTTCCACTCCATTTTACTGACTTTATCTGCAAATCTTTCACTGTTCAGGCTACACTACTCTGAACTCCTTACTTGAAGACATTAGGAAAGTACCAAAAAAAGATAGCCTTCAAAAGATTGGTCCGGGAATATCTCTCCAAAACAATTTCGTCAGCAATAATATCAATACTGCTACCTTTATCCAGACATTATGTGTTTGTATACAACATGTAACAAAAACCCTGTGGTTCCCGTTAAGTACGTTATCAGGATCAGTATTCAAACCTATAGAAATAACTTTTTTAAAACTCGACCATTTTTTTTTATTTTATTTTTTTTAAATTATGTGGTTTTATTTCCTCTTACTAACACTAGCCGATGCTAAAGCTAAATAAAGCGGGGTCTTTGACAATCCACTTACTCCCCAGACAATGCAGAGGTAATAAAACCACATACAATTTGCATACAATTATTTTTTTAATTCAAATAAAAAAAATATTGTTCTAGTTTTTAAAAAAAAAGTTATTTCTATACGTTTGAATAATGATCCCGATAACGTACTTAACGGAAACCGCAGGATTTTTGTTACATGTTGTATATGTATTTATTTATGTATATGTGTGAGTATACGTATATATGTAACGATTTCTTATATTTACGCGAACACTACACATTGAATAAAACTATTTTTACGGATTTTATCGCGTTTAATTAACTTATTTTATATTCCCGACGTTACGGTTGCTTTCCAGCAACCGTGGTCACGGGGGACTGTCCCTGTAGTAAAAATAGTTTTATTCAACGTATATATGTGTTAAGGATAATTATTATATATGAATTATTATGTATTTGTTTGTATTCATATGCGTTTGTGTAATTTATACATATATGCCTTATTTTAATAAGAGTTATATGTATATAAATTTATTGTATTTAGTTACTTAAGTCACCTGCCAATAATTTCTCACCACGCCATGGGTTGACTGGCAGAGAATGTTAACCTGGCATTAAGTCCGCCCCTTGTAACCTTCTTATTGGTCGGAACAATAAAGTTTTCAAATAAATAAAATAAAATAAATAAATGATATGCGGAAATTATTTGAATCTCTTTAGTTCTCTGAAGCCGGCTTCTACTATTTATTACAAACATAATTTTATTAGTGGTTATTCCCACTGATTCAGTTTCTAAGAACACGTGGCTAACTGATAACTCTTGGTATAATGATAACAGTTGTAAAGATAAATATATCTTTTGTCAAGTAAATATTTGCTTTAATGTGATACACAACGAACATGTACAGTAACGTAAAAAAAATGAGGTAGTACTGAGGTATATAAATATTTAGGTGCGCATATCGTGACGAAATTCACGATACAATACCATCCATACAGTCTGGATGCTTGACTATCCACCATTGTAGGTTTTACCAGAATTCATTTTGTTCGCACGACTTCTTTGTGGAATCGGCATCAAGAAAAGAGCCTACTGATTTTTAAAAGACTATTAAAATTGGAAAAATTTACTTGATATTGGCAAAGTAATTTTTTTCCAACTTTAATGTAATGGATTTCCGCAAAGTAACGCCTGATTCCATTAATTATTTTAAAAGACTGACAAGGCACAGGCAATTTCCCTAGTGGTACAGGCAGACGTTGTTCTGCCATTTTCGACGACCCTTCATAATATAAAAAATGCTTAAACTCATAATAAAAAACATTTTGAGGGTCATTTATCGGGATAAAAACTATCCTATCTCTCAAGTTGGACCAAACTGCACATAGTGTGCAAAATTTCATTGAAATCAGTTCAGTAGTTTAGGAATCCATCGCGGACAAACAACGTAACACGTAATTTTTATATATAAAGATTATGGTCACAAGTTATCAACAAAAATTGAAGCCTTCTTTGTAGGAAATTGGCTGCAGTAGTCAATTACCAGGTGAAATGCAAGTTCCTATTCTAAGTTAAGTTGCTATACTATGAAATGTGATATGGAGACAAAAGTAATATTTATAGAAGTTTTTTTTATAGAATAAGGGTGACAAACGAGCACACACCACACTGTCCACCTGACTGGCTGACCTGGCTGCTGTGGCCCATAGACATCTACATTTATCCTCGATTTAGAATCAAAATGCAAAGATGTAGTGCCTTGTTTTCAGTAAAAAGGTTCTCCACTAGTCTACCCACACCATACGAAACACAGCAGCATGAAGCTGCTATTTTACGCTGGCATCCTGTGAGAGCGTGGTCCTTCCCCGGTCGAGCAGACCCATTCGTGCTACAATGATAATATAGCTGCAGCACGGCTCTACCACGTAAAACTTTTTGAAGTTAATAGTTATCTATATATATCTACATTATTGCAAATAATTCATTAATATCTTTTTTTATAGTATAAGGGTGACAAACGAGCAAACAGTCCACCTGATGGTAAGTGGTTGCTGCGACCCATAGACATCTACATCTATCCTCTATTACAAATCAAAATGTAGATGCGTTGTCACCCGTGAGGACTAAGATGGAATGCCTCATTTCCAGTAAAAAGGGCCTCCGGCCACCTGCACTCACCAAGCAAAACGCAGAGGTAAACCTCTACTTCACGCTGGTTTTCTGTGAGGTCGTGGTACCACCCCGGTTCGAGCCGGCCCATCCGTGCGACAGCAAAAGCTACCGCGTGGCTCTACCACTGTTGTCATCTACATCGTTATATTGTTCATTTATAAAACCACTAGCTGTGCCCCGCGGTTTCACCCGCACCATCACGTGTCTGAGGTGTGCGACATGACATGACACCTAGTTCAATCATTTTATAATTGCAATTAAATATTTTATTTGATAGCAATGTATGGAAAAATTGGCATAATTAATGGAGTACTTTTATCTGTCCGCATATGTATGATGTAGAGCGAAGTTAAGTTTTATCCACTTTCCCTTCCCCTCCCGGTTGAGCATCCCCCCACCCCACGTCACAGAAAGTGTCCCGAAGCGCGGTTTTTTCCAGTTTTAAACAAAACCGTACACAATACATGAAAAGTGTGTAGGCATGAAATGATTCTTGATAAATTTGCTATCAAACTCTTATACTTATTAATCAATTGAATTTTCAAAATATCATAGCAACGTGAAATGAAAGAGTTCAGAAATAAAGATTTAACTAATCATTGTCATAAAAGTACTCAATTAATTTTGAATTTATTTTAGCTATAATGATTGAACTAACCTCGCTCATAGAAGCTTTCAAATTTTAATACTGGCTTCTCGCAGTTCTCACCGGACGGCTAGGGTTTGTGCGTCGTTCGAGCGCCCAGCCAAGTATTGAATTATTTTAATTTTACATTATCTCTTAAACTATGTGTCCAAATAACATGGTATAAAGAACAAAGTTTATCTTCATAAAATTGTCTTGATGATGAAGTAACTTTCGTTCGTAAGGATAAATAGGCCATGCCTAATAATAACGCTTATATATCACTTTTTAGTTTTCAATATTTTTTGTCACTAAATACCTAATTATGGCTTATCTATTGAATCGCGGACTTTTTTTAGACGGAGTAAAGATCTATATTTTTCTAGAGCATCGTATTTAGGTATTCCTATCCATAACACCAGCGTACGCGGATAAATCATTTCGGGAGCGCTTTTTCTTCTGACTTGCTTAACAAATATCCATATTTAAGGCTAGCTGAGTGATGTAGCTTAATGCTAGATAAGCTATACTATTCCAGATGAATCTAGCTATAATATACATAAAGAATTTTTCAAATCGGACGAATAGTTCCAGAGATTAGCGCGTTTAAACAAACAAAAAACAAACAAACTCTTCCGCTTTATTATATTAAGTATAGATAGTATAGTATAGATATTATACTATATTATATAGTATAGTAGAGATAGGTTTGCCACCTTACGAACGCACAGAAATCTGGTAACAAACGAAGGCACATTGAACCACCTCTGAGAACAACCTTTGAACTTGTTACTAAATCGCTATTTAGGTGCTTAAGCATAACAATTTTAAGTGAAAATTTCTTTGGCCGCGCTGAGCGATTTTTGGTAGGGAAAAAACCGATGATCTTGACATGCTCGTGACGTATTGAACGCAAGGGGCGCGTAGTAGATATAAATATATATATACGTATGCATGTACATAGGCCGCTATATATAAATATATATAATTATTAATTCCTTCTTAGTCCTCACGTGTGACAACGTATCTGCATTTTGATTCGTAATTTGTCTATGGGCCACAGCAATCACTTACCATCAGGTGGACTGTGTGATCGTTTTTCGCCCTTATCCTATAAAAAAAGAGTGGTACCATCTACTCAGACGAACTCTAAGGTAATAATTTAAAATTAAAAATTTTGTACAACCGACTTAAATATATATATTATTAAGGATAACACAAAAACCATTGGCCAGACCTTGTTCAAATTTATATGGGACTACATGAGAAGCACCAGCTTTCAAATAAAAAAAGAATAATCGAAATCGGTTCATGTAGAAAAAGAACATACCGTCGAATTGAGTACCTCTTCCTTTTTGAATTTGGTAGAAACAGTAGTCTAGCCTTAGAGTCTAGCTTTAAACGATAAGAAGGAGAAATAGTAATTTATCGCAATGTCTCCTTTGTTCCAGCAACATGGGTCTTCTAGAATTCAAGGAGTGGTCCAACCAACCGGACCTCTTCTCCGACAAGTCGCGGATGTGCTCGAAGCTCCGCGGTCTGACGCCTGGACAGCGGCGCGTTTGCCGACGCCACAAAGACCACATGCCGGCTGTTGGCGCTGGCGCAAGGCAAGGTATCACCGAGTGCCAGTATCAGTTCAAGAGCCGAAGATGGAACTGCACCGTGACCGGCGATGAAACGGTTTTCGGGCCGCTGACTTTGATCGGTGAGTTATATATGCTATACGGTTCAATTAAATTCCACTACAGCTTCTGCTGTAGCGTGGCTCTTCCACTGTTAACAAAATTACTGGTAAACAAGTTTTAAAGAACAAAATTTGTTTGTAAGGAATTCGTATCCCAGAACCAATATTTGTTGCCATATACGTGGTAGAGCCATGCTGCAGCTATATTAGTAGTTTAGTTGTAGCACGAATGGGTCGGCTCGGCCGGGGAAGGACCACGCTCTCACAGAATATCAGCGTGAAATAGCAGCTTAACACTGCTCTGTTTCGTATGGTGAGTGTAGAGAAACGGAGACCCATTTTTGCTGGAAAAGAGGCATTCCATCTTAGTCCTCACGGGGGACGACGCATCTGCATTTTAATTCTTTATTGCGGATAAATGTAGATGTCTATGGGCCACAGCAACCACTTACCATCCATCCAGCCCCAGCTACCAGCCCATCATTTGGTTTCTTTTCTTTTGTCGCGAGCCACGAGACGATATGGGGTAGTGGATATTCTTACACCGCCACTGCACGGTCGACACCATCACTACACATCCGCCACAGGATATATTGTTATCAGTTAATGAGAGCATCCACGACTTTTTCTGCCACCAGGGCGGAGCCACTAGAAAGTGAGATATAATATTTGACAGATTTCATAGTTGGGAAGTTAATTTGTTCGGAAAATGTAAAGGTTATTGTAATGTCAAGGTTATAGTTTCTGTACTATTAGCTATATTTTATATTAAGAATACTAAAAATAAATAAACATAATATTCATAAAAATAGAAAAATAAAAAAAGTAAAAAAAGTGCAAAAAATTAAAGAGCAAACCACTTACGCATTGTTTTGTGTATTAATATAATACTCTAGAAACTGTTAAACTTTAATTAAAAAACAACTTCTCAATTAAATGATATTGTGTAACAAATAAACTTTACCTATGTGTCAACTAGTGACATCTGGCGAGCAGAAAATTATTAGCCCTCATTGCCAATATTACATCACGACAACCTAAAAGAATAATATACAATTACACAGATAAAATATAAATTGACCAATATAATACCGTTAGAACCTAAAATAACAAATATATATCAAGCTAAAGGGTCAATAAATTTACAAGAAATATCTGGGCCGGAATAATCCGCTGTTATAGAACATAATAACAATGTCGTAAAACAGAGAACTACTTTGGTCGCTTTTATGGCTACGAAATCAAGTTATTTTATTGCATTCTCTCATTCCTCCAGCAGTAACAATTGTATATTAGTTCATTAAAATATAATATGATTTTTTTATATGATGAGAGTGACAAACGAGCACACAGTCCACCTGATGGTAAGTGGTTGCTGTGGCCCACAGACATCTACATCTATCTTCGTTTGCGAATCAAAATGCAGATGCGTTGTCACCCGTGAGGACTAAGATGAAATGCCTCTTTTCCAGTAAAAAGGGTTTCCGGTTCTCTACACTCACCATACGAAACACAGCAGTGTTAAGCTGCTATTTATGCTGGTATTCTTATTTTATTATTATTATCTTCACGCACAATCCCTGACGGGGTAGCCAGAGAGAACAGATCGCCAAGTGTCACGATCCTTACATACCTCTTTCGCTTCTTTCAGATTCATTATCTTCTTCATACATGCACGTCTAGGTATCCGAGTACTCTTGACCCTACCCTCTTCAAGCAATTTGCTCACATGGTCTTCGAAAGTTAGTCTCGGTCTACCTCGACACCTTTTAATATTAACTTTCGCGCTATATATTTTCTTCACCATTCGGTCTTCACTCATTCGCTCAACGTGCCCAAACCACCGAAGCACGCCCTTATCAATTTTTGTGATAAGGTCATCTTTCAAGCTGGTATTCTGTATTATTATATATTCGTTTTATCGTTGTCACCGTCATCATTATTACACCCCTTATAATAACGTCATCCAGATCGAATTTCGGTCACGGAGGCCAGTCTCAACGGAGCGAATTACCCATCTGCGCAGGAGAGGATTATAGTGCCCGAGCGCTAGTTATAGTGCACAAGCGCACTCTATCCCTTACTCTCATAGTCTGATGGGACGGTTGTCCAACAAGACCGGAGAGAGATCAGGCACAGGACCAACGGATTTACGTGCTTTCAGAGGCACCGGGATGAAACACCGCTAACTTCCTGACTCCGGGCTGCCACTTAGAATTTATTGACAGAAAATCCATTAATAAATTATAGCCCCATCCGGGATTCAAATCCTGGACCTGGTGATCAAATATATATTACCACAAAGTACGGTCCCGAGCTTTAAAAAACGTTTAGTAAAAGTTTAAAGCCGTAATTAAATTTTTTAATCAAAATTTTATGATACACATAATTAAATGTCTTCGATATAATTAATAGAATCAGGCGTTACTTTGCGGAAATCCATTATATAAAAGCTTTTACAAAAATTTTAATTCTACAAAAATTTACTTCGCAATTTTTTTTCTTTTTTAAAAACGTTACCCCCACACTAGGATTTTCTCCTGTGTCGTGGAGGCAGTTTACAAACATAAATTGCACAAGGACAAACATCCAGACCCGGAACAATTATTTGCAGGCCATACCAATACTTGTTCCGTGCGGGATTCGAACCCGCGGTCCCCAGCGCAACAACTGATTGCTAAGCCACTGCGCCACGGAGCCGTCAAATATCCGCGGATATTTGCTAATTTTTGTAAAAGCTTTTATAAATATCTTCGAAATATCACAGAAGCCATCAACAGTGTCATGGTGCTCTTTACAGACCTGTAAAATATGTAACACAAGTGTTATACCCGCATTCGTCATTTCATGAAGTCGGATTGCCTGTCGTCAAAATATTATTTTTAATTAAATGAACAAGCATCTGTTCTAAAAGGATTTTTTCTAATATTTTCCTTAAGGCTGGCAACACGGATATGGAACGGTTATTTGTAGAGTTTTTTCTACTGCCTGACTTAAACACAAAGACAAAACAAAAGACAATCATCGCTATCATTGATGCTATAGATCTTCTGTTTTATTTTGCTTAGGTTCCTGAAGGTTTTAATAATATCTGCATAGACAAATTGTTGAAAATGAAAATCAGAAATATCTAAAGCTTCATGCTCTTTGAGTAGTGGATTCTTCAACTACTTTTTTTTTAGAATAAGGGAGACAAACCAGCACACAGCCTACCTGATGGTAAGTGGTTGTTGTGGCCCATAGACATCTACATTATGATTCGATTACGAATCAAAATGCAGATGCGTTTTATTAGATGGAATGCCTCGTAAAAAGGTTCTCCGGTTCTCTACACTCACCGTACGAAACACAGCAGTGTCAAGCTGCCATTTTACGCTGGTATTCTCTGAGAGCGTGGTCCTTCCCCGGTCGAGCCGACCCATTCGTGCTACAACTATACTACTAATATAGGTGCAGCATGGCTCTACCATGTATAGAATATACGTGGTAGAGCTATAGCAAACATAATATTTCCTGCAGATTTTATTAATATACATAAGCCATTAATTTTTAATGTACTACCTTTTAATGACGGTTTAAGAATATATTGTTTAAAAACACAAATGTAGCATGTCTCAGTTTTACAAACGAGTATCGAACAAGTGGTGGCATACAGCCTGTTTGTCACTGTCACCCTTACTTGTATAAAAAAAATACTAAACTAGAATTTCTCATTCAATTCTCAACTACATATTTATTGTTCTTAGAGTTAATGTAATTTTTAAATATGTACTTCCATTTCCCGCTCTCTAAATCTTCGGGAAGCAACGTGCAGCGTCCTGTCCGGGACACCTGACAGATTTATAGCGCATTCTCCTTCTTAGCCACAAATCTTTAATACATTCTCTCGAGAAGATATATTTTCCCCTGCAACACTGGTTAGATAAGAAATTATCTTGTAGGGTATTAGCAATTTAACCAATTAGAAAAAAAGAAAAGATTTATATCTTCGGTTGATAAAGTTAGTCTAGTAGTAGTAGTAGTGTGAGTGCTGATCATTAGGTCCCGGGTTCGAATCGTGGGTCAGGCCAGAAATCCGTTATTGAGTTTTTCCATCAAGAAATTCTTAGTAGCTGCCCGGAGTCAGGAAATTGGCGGTATCTCACCCCCGTGCCTCGGAAAGCACGTAACACCGATGGTCCTGCGCCTGATCTCTTTCCGGTCGTGTCGGTTTACCGTCCCATCGGACTATGAGAGTGAGGTAATAGAGAGTGCACCTGTGCTTGCGCATACACTTGGGCACAACAATCCTGTCCTGCGCCGATGGCTAGTCTCCGTTGAGGCTGGCCGCCGTGACCAAAATTCAGTCTGGAGGACATTATTATTGCATTATAAATAAGCATTACAAATACATGCATATCAAAAAAAAAAAGTCCAACTTTAAACCAACTCAGCGGGGCAACGATCGAGAAAATACGATGCATCTTTTGGTCTCGTTTTCCTTAAAATTTTAAAACAAAGTGTACATACAACTTAAGACATCGTCCTTCACTGTTGGTTGTAAAGGGAGCTTATGAGTCAGCGAGCTATGGCGAACGCTATGCTTAGAGTTTATAATGAAGATAGAAGATATGTTTACGTGGTAGAGCCATGCTGCCTTTAAGTGGTAGACCCATGCTGCCTTTACGTGGTAGAGCCATGCTGCCTTTACGTGGTAGAGCCATGCTAAGCTAAGCCAGCTATATAAGTAGTATGTATAGTTGTAGCACGAATGGGCCGGCACGACCGGGGAAGGACCACGTACTCACAGTATACCAGCGTAAAATAGCAGCTTAATGCTGCTGTGTGCCGTATTGTGAGTGTAGAGAACCGGAGACCCATTTTACTCGAAAAGAGGCATTCTATCTTAGTCCTCACGACTGAAAACGCATCTGCATTTTAATTCGCAAACTCTTCTCTTCTCTTACTTATTTCTGGCCTCCAATGGCAGTCCATTGCTGTGTTTCACAAAATTAAAACTGCATCCAACAAAATTAAAATGA